GCTCATGCCTGCAATCCCAGCACTTTGGGAGGCTGAGGTGGGTGGATCACTGGAGTTCAGGAGACCAGCCTGGCCAATATAGTGAAACCCCATCCCTACTACAAATACAAAAAAATTGCCAGGCATTGTGGTGTGCACCTGTAATCCCAGCTACTTGGGAGGCTGAGGCAGGAGAATCACTTGAACCTGGGATGTGGAGGTTGCAGTGAGCTGGGATCGCACTGCACTCCAGCCTGGACGACAGAGTGAGACTCCATCCCCCGCACCAAAAAAAAAAAAAAGGCAAGAAATCCACTCATTAAAAATCAGTGTCTTATCTAAAACTTTACATGAGACCAGTAGGCAGAACCTCATTTGGCCAGTTTTCAAAAACTTGCAAAATTTCATTTCCTCTAGAACCAAAATTTGTCAAGTTTTTTTGTTTGTTTTTAACATGAGGATCTTTTTTTTTCCCCCTAAACATTGGGTACTCATGGAGAGGATCTTAATAAGAAAAAGAATTTTAGGCTGGGCACAGTGGCTCATGCCTGTAATGACAACATTTTGGGAGGCTGATATGGAAAGTTCACCTGAGCCCAGGATTTCAAGACCAGTCTGGGCAACATAATAGACATGTCTACCAAAAAATATATATATATATTTTTTTTAATTAGCCAGGCCTGGTGATGCACACCTGTAGTCCTAGCTACTCAGAAGGCTGAGTGGGGAGGATCACTTGAGCCCAGTAGGTCAAGGCTGCGGGGAGCTGTGATCATGCCACTGCACTCCAGCCTGGGCAACAGAGTGACACCCTGTCTCAAAAAAGAAAAAGAAAATTTAAATCTGTTCCCATCAAGTAAAATAATTATTTTTAATCAAGATAATCAAATAATTAAAAGTAGAAACTATTGAATCAGATAGCTGATCTGATCAGTAAGTGAAGGGTGAGAGCTGTGAGGCACTGTCTTAAAATTAAAAAAAAAGATTAAACCTAGATAATTGTTCTGTACTATCTTACAAGGAGCCTCTCTCTGCTTAGCAGTTGGCTTCTATTCTGTTAATATTCTGAACAAGTCTAGATGTTGTACTCAAAACAGAAATTTTTTTGTTCTGGATCATGACACAGCCACTCCATTTAAGAATGAAATCCCCTTAGGAGCAGCAGGATTCCCTGACTGTAATCCAAGAGAACAGAGTCTTCATTCTTGAACATCACTGCTAAGTGAAGCCTAGGACTAAGGTGCAAGGGGTAAGATACACCTGTGTGGAATGGCTGGGCCTCTGTGTTTTGGGAAGCTTTATCCCCCACTCCTACCCAGGTATCCAGAAGGACTCTCCTGGGTCACAAGGCTAGCAGCTCACTCTTCCAGCTAGGGCAGTCAAAAGCAGAACCATTTAAAACACCAGGGCTACTGAATTGCTTTCACACCCACCCTAGAGCAGAGCCTGTCAATTCACAGCAGCCAAGGAACAAGCTGTAGGCTCTGCCTTTGTTTAAAATATGAACAAGTTGAAAAGTGTTTGTGCCCAGCCCAACAGCAAACCCTCCCCTTTCAGCGACTCACCAGTTTCTCTGGCTGAAGGCGGGGATGCTGGTCAGGCTCTGATCGCTGGCAGGGTAATACTGCGCATACGATGGGCGGGTATAGGGGACTGATGTGCGTTTGTCTTCCTCATAGCTTTTCTTTGCTGCTTTTTTCTCAGCCTTGGTCAGCTTGTGATCCTTTCGGTTGAGGAGCAATGACTCATGCTCGAAAGGCTCCTGGGGACACAGGAGGATGCTGATTTAGTTATGAATATGGCTGATGGATAATGAGCCTTACTTTAAAATTAAGAAAAGAGCTGGCTGTCTCCAGCACTAGTCAAGAGACTGTTCAGAAATACACAGGAGGGTTTATTGTCTTTCTGTCAAGAGTATAATTTATAACTCTAACCTAGTACCAGCTTTAGACATCTAAGCCTGCCTTCCCTATCAAAAGAATGCAAGAGTTCAGAGAATTAACAGACTACATTTTCGGAACTTTCCCCCTCTCCTTCTGCTAAGAAGACTCACACTAGCCAAATTATTACACATGGCTAACCTTAGCATTCCCAGGACCAGATTAGGGGAGGGGGTAAGTGGTTGGGGGCAGAGAGGGGCACTGAATGGGGCAAGAAAGAGAAGCCCTTCAGTCCAAGTCGCCTGCATGAAACATCACCTCAGATGAAGAAAACAAGCTTACAAGACAAGCCTCCCTTGACAAAGAGACTGCCATTCTGGGGACTGCATGCATACCAAGTTCTTACCTTGGTGATGAGGTGAGGGTACTTCAGACAGGCCAGTTGCAGGACTGACTCCTTGATCCCCTTTATGTTCAAGGAAACTTGGGGAGCTGGCTCCTTCTCAACAAAGTGCAGTAAGTTTTCCACTTCCTTCCGGGTGAAGTTCAGCATTGGATTTAGATCATCCACCACCCGATCTAGAAGGATAAATTCATGGAGAAAGTCAGCACATGGCACTAAAAACTGTAAAGGTCAACAGACAGAAGTGGCATAACTGTCAATAATAATGAAAAGTCATCCCATATCTGAAAGTCAAAGACTAAGTCTGAGGTCCTGGTGATACTGGAAACATCATATAAGAGAAACTTGTATAATGCGCTTGGCTGTTATCATTAAACTCATGTTCAACTAGTTGAGGTCAATCACCTTTTAAACAATTACTTAATCAGAATGAGAGAGGAGGAAATGTTGTCTTTCTATGATTCGAAGCCTGCCTTTGTTCGCATATCCTGCTCCTCCTCTCCCACCCTTAATACTAAAAGGATGGTAGCCTGTATAGATGTGCCTCTCTGAAGTCTGGAAGATGGCCCACCTGACATGCCCTGCTTGGAAATCTGACGGTCATAGATCTTCTTTTCAAGAGTGTAATCAGCCACAAGTCGATAGATGTAACAGGGCTTTTTCTGGCCATAACGGTATACCCGACATACTGCCTGGGCATCATGGCAAGGGTTCCAAGAAGCATCAAACACCACCACTCGGTTGGCACCAATCAGATTCACACCCAAGCATCCGGCCCTTTAAAAGACAAGCCAACAATCACAGAGCCTTTAATCTTAAAAAAGGTTTTCAAATCAGTTTTGCCGTCTATGACTTCTACCCCAATATTACTCTGTCCTAAGCCCTAAGCACAACATACTCAAGGATTTTACTGTCCTGCTGATAAACAGTACATTCCTCAAGCACTGAAAATTGTGCCCTGAAATCGAACATGAAAGCGTCTACCAGCTCAGAAAAAAAACTCTCTCCTCTTCTCTGTAACAAGTAAGGCCTCCACATCCTGGCCTTGGAGTGATGTTCCCTGATGAGGAGAAACTTCTGCACACAGATGTTTCCACTATTTTTAGTGTAAAAGCTTAGGAGAATGACTGGCTCACACTGTCCCAAGGGTGTTATGACGGCAGAAGGCAGCACAGACTTCAAGCTGCTTGGCATGAGACAATGACATTAGCCTTTTACAGTTACCTTGCACTTTCTACTTTTTAAAGCACTTTCACATTCATCACATCATCTAAGCCTCAGAACAGTCCTGAGAGAAAAGCCAATTAAAACCCTTGGATTTTTTAATTGATGTTGTTTGCTTGTTTTTTTTTTTAAATGAGACAGGGTCTCACTCTGTCACTTAGGCTGGAGTGTAGTGGCTCGATCACAGCTGCCCTGCTAACCTAATTTCCTTCTGAAGTCCCCTCTCTGACCCCAAAAACAAGTTACAAACCAGACTGATCTCTTCTGATGGAACTTGAAGTTTTGGGGGACCAGCACAGGTGGCCAACTGCCTGAACAGACTCCTTTGACCTCCCGTCTCAGGATCCACTCACCTTGTAGAGAGAAGGAACAGCCAGGTGGTGAGGTTGCTGGGATCATTGAACTGATTAATGAGCCGCTCCCTCTCAAAGGCAGGGGTGCTACCATCTAGCCCTAGGAAGGAAGGAAAACCATAAGAAGTGGATATATTAGAGAAATGATACACAGCAAAATCACTGGGCAAATGTGTTTTAAAGAGCAAAACAAACAGAAACACAACAGTGCTCAGATCCCACCCCTTGGATATATCACAGATCTACAGTGAGGCCCAAGCATCCATAATTTGAAAATATCCCCAGGTGATTCTCACATGCATCATGGATTATAAACTATATTTCTTCCCTTTAGTATCTTAAGTCAATTCTAAAGCCAAGGATCCTAGACTCTGGAGTGTATATTAATCACCTAGGGAATTTGTAAAATACTGGCTCAGGGTGACCTCTCTGCCTCAGCCCTGTGAGTCCTGGTGAGTGAAGAAGGACTAAGGGTTTTGTGTTGATGATGTTCCTCCACCAGGAATCTGCATTTTTAACAAGCTCCTGAGGCTAAGAACTTGCTATAAGGAGATATAAAGGAAATACATATGGAACAGTAGGATGGAACACATAAATAAAAGGAGGAAACCTCAAAAGAGGGAGAAAAAATAGCCTTCAGGACCAGGCACGGTGGCTCATGCCTGTAGTCCCAGCACTTTGGGAGGTGGGTGGATCATGAGGTCAAGAGATTGAGACCACCCTGGCTGACAGGGTGAAACCTTGTCTCTACCAAAATACAAAAATTAGCTGGGTGTGGTGGTGCACACCTGTAGTCTCAGCTACTTAGGAGGCTGAGGCAGAAGAATCACTTGAACCCGGGAGGTGGAGGCTGCAGTGAGCTGAGATCCCGCCACTACACTCCAACCTGGTGACAGAGCGCAACTCCATCTCAAATAAAAAATAGTCTTCAGTTAAGAAGCAGCATAAATGGTGAGTCAGGGCAACACCTGTTATCTTGAGTGAAGGGCAAAACTAAGGGCATGAAATACCATATGGAAAACTGAATTACTACTGGTTGTAGGAAGCAATAGTTTAATTGCCTAGTACTGGGGTTCTATGTCAGGACCCCAACCTACCTTTCCAACCTGAGTGCCAACGTTTCCAAGCACAGCTCACCACTGATTCACAGGGCAAGCTCTAAGCCAGACCTTGTGTTGTGGGTCTTCTTGCTACTCCCTGAACCTCCAATTCTCTAAATCCTTCCATCAGGGCAGTGGTTCTCAATGAGGGTGATTTCTCCACACACCCACTCCCCACAGGACATTTGGCAGTGTCTGGAGATATTTTTGGTTGTCAAAACTGAGAGATACTACGCCATCTAGTGAGTAGAAACCAGGGATGCTACTAAATGTCCTACAATGTACAGGACAGCCCCTTAAACAACAAAGAATTATCTGACCCAAATGTCAACAGTGCTGAGGTCTATATTTCTCAACTTTTTTTTCATTACCACCCCACTAAGGAATAATTTTTCCCCCAATGACACTATGTCCTCCATGAAATTTAATACCACAGATATACTGTATACCTGTTAATGTACATCTGTGACTTACACATTTTAAAAGTTAAGATTTCCATCCCCACCAAAAAAAAAAAAAAAAAAAAACCACACACACACACAATGTTCATCCCCTTAAAGTATTATCTCCCCCACAGAGAATGCATAATCTAGGCTTGTGTTCACTCTGATCTTTCAGCCTGGAATAATCTTCAGACCACACTAGACCTGTATATTCAAATCCTCCCCATTTTTGAGAAGCCTTCCCCAATCATCCTCACCACAGTGATTCTATCCTCTTTGGAGCCCCAGTTAGAGCATTAAATTGTTCTTGAATTGTCACATCTCAGATGAAGAGAAGGCCTATGCCTTCTATTTCTCTATACTCTCCCATCTCTCTCAATCCTCCCAATCCCTAGTACTACAGTACCTTGTACACAACAACCAGTTCTTAGTATCCCCCTGCTCCTTGGCTAATCACAAATATTCCTATGCATTTGATGGAGTGGAGAAAGACAGAGAGAAGGAAAGGAAATCCTTAAGCAGACCTTGCTAAGGCTTCAAGAACAACGCAGCAATGAACTCACGGAAGTAGCTGACGTTTCGAACCCACTTCTGTGCTCCTTGCCCCTCGGCACCAGGTGGACAGGGTACTTCTCGTTTTCCAAGGAATTCCTCAATGAGAGCCAAGGTGGAAAGGCTCTGGCTAAAATGGAAAACATTTGATTCAGATGTCTCCACAATCAAGGGAACATTGTTCCCAATAGTTCCATACTCTTGTGCAACCTTCTGACAGTGGGAGCTCCCACAACCTACCACTGATAAGAGAAGATAAGAGTCAGCTGTTGGCTGGGTTTGGTGGGCAGATCGTCTGAAGTCAGAATTTCAAGACCAGCCTGGCCAAAATGATGAAACCCCATTTCTACTAAAAATCCAAAAAAAAAATTAGCCTGGCATAGTGGCATGTGCCTATAGTCCCAGCTATTCAAGAGGCTGAGACAGGAGAATCGCTTGAACCTGGGAGGTGGAGGATGCAGTGAGCCAAGATTGTGCCACTACACTCCAGCCTGGGCAACAAGAGCAAAACTCCATCTTCAAAAAAAAAAAAAAAGAGGTAACTTTGCCAAGAAGAACCAAGGGTATCCTTCCTAGCACATAATGGCAGCACAGTCATCCACATACTATTACCATCACACTGAAAAAATGCTCTCTTCGTTCTTCACTTCTACAATTCAAAATTTCTGGGGTTTAGCTCAATGCAAAGTAACAAATACCATTCAGCATTAAGCACTACCACTACATGAATATACATCAGATATGACTATGCGTTTTACTAGAGAGACAAAATCACTCAACTGCTTCCAAGATACGCAGAGAGCCAGTGTCCTTAGAAGTGATCCATAAAATCGGCTGGGCGCAATAGCTCACACCTATAATCCCAGCACTTTGGGAGGCAGGCAGATCAGGAGTTCGAGATCAGCCTGACCAACATGGTGAAACCCCATCTCTACTAAAAATACAAAAATTAGCCAGGTGTGGTGGCACACACCTGTAATCTCAGCTACTCAGGAGGCTGAGGCAGGAAAATCGCTTGAACCCAGGAGGCAGAGGTTGCAGTGAGCTGAGATCCCACCACTGCACTGCAGCCTGGGCAACAGAGCGAGACTCTGTCTCAACAAAACAAAATAAAACAAAAAGAAGTAATCTACAAAATCAACAGTAGGCTCTCCCCAAGCCAGAATCACTGCTGTCCTCTCAAAGTGTGTCACATGTGGAAGCTCTCACTCTGAGGTTCCTGAGCCAGCCTTCTGCCACTTGGCTCTTCTTGGAGCATAATCTGGTCAGAATAAAGGAGGAGGAGCAATCAACTTTGTTTTCCTGGGAAGTCAAACCTTAATGAGACTCAAAGCTCTAGCCAGACTGAGAACGTAACTCTGGAGCAAACCACATCACTTATTTGGTCTTATGGACAAAGCTTAAAACTAAAATAAAAGGTTGGGGAGGGACAGAAGCAGATTAGACCAAGGGTCAGCAAACATTTTCTGTAAAAGGACGGACAGCAAATATTTTAGGCTTTCTTGACCACGTAGAGTCTCTGGTGCATATTCTCTGTATGTTTTTTATAAGCCTTTAAAAATGTAAAAACTGGCCGGGCACAGTGGCTCATGCCTGTAATCTCAGCACTTTGGAAGGCCAAGGAGGGCAGATCACCTGGAGTCGAGAGTTCAAGACCAGCCTGACCAACAGAGAAAAACCCCTTATCTACTAAAAATGCAAAATTAGCCAGGCATGGTGACTCGTGCCTGTGGTCCCAGCTACTCAGGAGGCTGAGGCAGGAGAATTGCTTGAACTTGGGAGGCAGAGGTTGTGGTGAGTCAAGATCATGCCATTGCACTCCAGCCTGGACAACAGCAGCAAAACTCTGTCTCAAAATAATAATACAACAAAATAAAAATGTAAAAACTATTCTTAGCTCTCAAAGTGAAGAAAAACAGGCCAGAGTTTGAAGGATTTAATTCCAATGCTAACCTAGGGTTCTAAATTGTTCTCTGTGGAGAAATCAAATTGGGCAATGAAAGGAACTCCAAAGACAGACCTAACATGAAAGAAGGTCCTCACAATAAGCACTTGACAGGGGCTGGCGGGCCTTAATTGGTCTTGTTTTGTGGTGGTTTTGTCATTCTTTATCATAGACACACAGAATCAGCTGGAAGTTTCTCATCCTACCTAAACACAAGGATCTTGTCCCCAAGCTTCACACTTTCCTCAATCAGGTGGAAAAGCAGTACCATCTTGGGAGAGTTTTCTAAGACTCCAGTCTGGTAATTTGTCAGAAGGTCCTTGGCCTGCAAGAGAAAAACAAGGCAGCTTGGAGCAGGTCCAAGGCCAGATCACTAGAAATAAAATTCTTCTCTTCCAAGGCAGCAGCTCACTGGCTACCTTTATAATTACATACAGAGACCCTAGCTGTGCATCCCTACCCTCTCCCCAGGCACGGCTTGTACCATCCCCTCTTCAGTAGTTTATGGTTCCTGAAGGATCTGTTTGACTCACCCATTCATATGTGACGATGTTGTTGCCTCGCTCCTGGAAAGGGTTGAAGCCAACACCCTGTAGGAACTTGCTATTTGTTGCCTCTCCCATTGAGGAAGCCAAGGTGCTATCCTCTCCCTTGCCTTTTGTTCCCTGTGGTGGACAGCGGGCACTGGTCCCCGCAGAGCCAAGCTCTTCCACATCTAGGTCCTGCTCATTGGCCAAGCTCTCCTTCTGAAGGGCTTCATACAGCACATCAGGGTGATTCCAGATCTGAGGTTCAAGGAAAGGGAGAGGAGCCACAGGACAAAAAATACTCCAAGGGTGTCCCAGGGAATCTGGAAACACATACTTGCTCAAATACACACCTCCCACAGCACACACTGTCACATCAAAAATTAGTCAGAGCCCTTCACAGCCAATGAGCCTGCATATTTGCTTTGATTACCAGTTCTGATCACCATGACACATGAGTGGGATCATTCATACCAGGAGCCAGACCAGTAAGTATGTTTGCTACATAATCAAAAAAGCTGTCACAAGCCTTTTTGACATTCTTATTCAAATAAGAGCAAGAATGTTCCAGTTTCACAGTGTGGCTACAATGTGCTACTGTATAAAACTATAGACAAAATGTATCTGACTTATAGCAAACCAATCACATATCATTTCAGGGAGTATTCCTAGCAAGAGTTGAGAACTCCCAGGAGAAGAGAGGAAAGGAAAAGGAAGGATGCAGTGACATCGAAGCATCATCACAGACCTCATTTGCCTTAGTTTCCTGGTCCTGATCCAGGACTTTGGCTACAAAAGAAATATTTGGAAACCCTCCTGTCCCCAGACACATAACCTTCTGCTGACTTTTTAAAGAAGTGGTCAATTAAGAATAATACCTAATAGGTCTGCTGAAGAGTAGCCAGGAGTAGAGGTATAAAGTCAATGAAACAGGCAATTGTGTGTACAAATCCCAACAAAAGAATGAGAGGTCTCATTCTGATTAAGTATGGAATCCAATGGAAGGCACCCCTAATAACTTGTCTAAGCTATATATCTCTTTGATTCTGATTATGCTAGCAGTCAAAAATGATGCCCTACAATATTCTTCCATCAACCCCCTTTTCTAAGTGAAAAAAATCAGTGATAAAGGAAGTGATTTTTCAAATTTGGTATAAAAAGTTATTCAGCTGCGGTGCACACTGCAGGAAGCATCAGTTATATTACACTGTGTGAATGGCACCTCTAGGAGTTGTGTGGTACACCACCAGCACCTCTCTCCTTGGAGACCCTAAACCTCCAGTGCAGTGAACTGAGGTGGCCCCCTCTCACTTTAGTCTTCCTTTATTGAAGACTCTCAGTAGGAGTAACTCACTTGGGACCATGTGTATCCTTAATCCCCATCTCAATCTTCCCTGAGGCCCCAATGCACCTTGCAACACACGCAGAAAGCCTTAAGGGGGTTCAGCCCCAGCCAGCCACTGGTACCACAGTCCCGAAAGCGATCCATGAACTGTGTGTACAAATCTCGCTGGATCTTCGAGAGCCGCACAAGGATCACATTTTCTTCCTTGGCAGGGAGATGAATCTTCAGCACAGTGTGGCCTCTCCTATGGAGGCAAACACATCAGAAGTGGCAAGGTAGTGTGGCCAGGAGGGGTCAGCACAAAATAAAAACAGAGCCCTTTGCACTCCTGCCACAGCTCCCTCTTGAGGATCTCAACATGCACTGCAGCCGTGCAACAATGCAGCGAGGTTCAACCACCACCAAGAAGAAATTCACCTAAAGGATGAAAACTAACACTAAGAGGCAGAATGACCTGTCCCAGGTCATGTCTGACTGCATGAAAGACACAGGGGAACTTTAGGTTCTTACTCGAATTTGGGCTGCCTCTCTGAGCTTTCGTAACATATGCCATCTCAAGAAGGGAAAATGAGGGGACTGCTTTAGACTAGCCTAAGGCATACCTACTGAGATACCAAAACTGGTAAGGCCATACCCCCAGAACCATTTCTAGTCTTCCACCCAAGTCAGCAGAATGGTAGCTTTTTCTTGCTTCTCTCAGCAAGTAAGACAGGTATCTCCAAGACCTTTAAAGACAACTTTTGAGAGAAGTGCTTCTCGGCCAAACTTTCAGATAACTGAAACAGTGGATATGCACCATCTGCCAGCTTGTCACAGGAAGCAAAGTTTTACTACTGCCCCTAGGAAGGGGCCCTCCTACTCCAATACCCCATCCTGTATAACAAGCTTGGCATGCCTTTGGCAACAGGGCCCACCGAAAATTCAGGAAGCAGGACCCTGAGGATGGCTCACCTCTGCACAAAGCCCTCCAGAAGACTGTGCAAGACATGGCTCCGGTACCGCATGAGGCGCACGTCCTGAGGTGTGCTGTCAATACACTGCCCATTCAGGATAGGGCGTTCAAACATGTTGCTGAACTCCTGCCGAGTGCCAAGGAAGTCTGGGCGCACAAAGTCCACCATGCACCAGTACTCAATGAGGTTGTTCTGCAGAGGGTACCCAGTCAGCACCACCCGGCGGCGAGAGCGTATATTCTTCAGAGCCTGTGAGGTGCTGGCCTGGCAGTTTTTGATGCGGTGTCCCTCATCACAGATTACTACATCTGGGCCAGGGCGGCATAAAGCCTTCTCAAACTCTAGGAAGAGAAGAGGATCCAGAGTCAGAGGGTGACAGGGCCTGCTCTTAGTCAATAATATGAGAAGTAGGGGTGCACCCTGGAGGAGACAGAAGAAATGAAGGAAGCAGGAAAGCAAGAGTCAGCCCCCCTTGGTGAGAGGGAGCCAGTCATTCAAGCTCCTGCACACTTGGTATGACACTAATCTGGCTGTTGACTCTTGCAATAAATATCCCTTTCCCCCATTCCTTTCCTTATTTTATTTTTCTTTATGTTAAAAGTACAACTGACTTGCATTCCTAGGGCTTAGACCAACTGGGCAGCAGAGAGAGGGACCTTTCAGAGTGCCAGCCTAGGATTAAAAATGCATCTGGATGAGACCAATGGGAATAGTCCAGACACTTTAGTAGGCTCTCACCATTGCCAGCATCTTGACTCCATCTGAGGGCTGGCTGGTAGGAGCTAGCTAAAGGACAGGATCTTCCCGCAGTTATTCTCCAGTCATTGCTAAATGGCAAATTCATCCCAGCTCTACCATAGAAGCAAACCTAGAACGAACATAATCTCATAGATGATGAGACTTATAAAATGAAATGGCCGCTGAACCCTTAAAAACTTTCTTCCCCAAATAAGCAAAGGCCCCTGAGAAGATGGAGTAGAATTAGAACTATGAGAGGAAGGAATGGTTTTCACTAAAAGAAACCGGGATAAATTCTTTTTTATGAATTCACAAACAATAGTATTACTACTTTGTCTTTATATTAGTGATTTAAACACTTTATATTTTCTCAATGCTTTCTCAGAACATCTCTAGAAAGTGGTAAAGGAAATGGTTACTCTTCTAACTGTTCTGTGAGAGAAACGGACAGATGAACAGAGGAATCTCCCCCAAGCCAGTGTGTGGCCTGGCCTGGCCTAACTAGAACTGCATGGATTGCAGAGAAAGCAGTACCTTCTACGAGCCATCAGAAGTTATTCTACTGATCTTGGGAACCAGGATTTTTGGTTCATGATAACAATTCACATCAATAATGCACTTTACATCTGACTAGGTGCTATCAGCAGACACAATTACTTTTTTCCTGAAACATCACCAAGAGTATTCCTAGGATAGGCTACCCACCTCTCCGAAACTCCTGCTGCCGATCTTCCTCATCCAGATCAATGATGACTGGGTGAGAACGTTTCTTGGTTTTCTTCGGTCTACCTGTGGCAAATGATTTCTTCAGAGTGAGAAGTCTGTACATTTCATACCCCATCAGCAGCACCCCACCCTCTGACACCCAATCAGCCATCACTTTAGCACGAGATGCCATCGTCCTGTAAGATAAACGGAGAAAATTGTGTGAGCTGTGAATTTTATCTCAAGAATTATTGTTTCTGCTGCTCCCCAAAAAGAATTGCTCACTATCAAAGCTGTGTTGATGTACATTCAGAACTTATTACCAAGGATTTCATGTGGCAGCAAGCACAGGGCTGGCCTACTGCCCAAGGACCTCCCATCATCCCCAGAAACTAACTGCATTGAGGATGAACTGGATCACTGATGGTGGTTAAACAGCAAGAAACATAGCAATTCAACTACATAAGGCGAGAGAAAATGACAACCCCCTCGGATATTCAGGAATGACTACAATTCAACATTTGAAAGAGCATTTTAATCCCATGATAAATACAAGGTGACAGAAGGAAGGGCAACATTCTGTAGTTCACTTGCCTGGGGTCAAGTGAATAAAGGGCTACAAACAGTAAAGAGGAAACAGCAGAACAGACCAGATGACCCTCAGTGCAGTCACTCTACTTCCACTCCACTGAGCCCTCACTGTATTTCACTGACTGCACGTGGACTAAAAATCCTGAAATCTAAGAAAGCAGAGTAGGTGATCAACCACCTGTGAGGTCAACTCCTCATTTTTATGTGTGCGTCCAAACATCACAAAAGGCATCCTTTGCAGAAAATTCAGAAAGGCTACTTTCTCAATTATCTACACCAATGAGAGGAAAGGTTAGCATGTAGAGCTGGCTTGTTTGATCAAGAAATAGCTTTAGACTTTTGGAAATCAGGTTGACTTTATGGCATACATATACAAATAATTTTATTTAAATCTTAAACACAGCAAGGCTTGCACCTTTCAAAGCTTTGGGAGTTGTACCATTAAAGGTCAAATGCAGACCAGTGCTTAAAAGAAGAGACTGGCTGGGCATGGTGGTGCACCCCTGTAATCCCAGCACTTTAGGAGGCCGAGGTAGGCGAATCACGATGTCAGGAGTTCGAGACCAGCCTGGCCAACATGGAGAATTTTTATATTTTTAGTAGCCTGTCACTACTAAAAACATAAAAATTATCCAGGAATGATGGTGACTGCCTGTAATCCCAGCTACTTGGGAGGCTGAGGTGGGAGAATTGCTTGAACCCAGGAGGCAGAGGTTGCAGTGAGCCAAGATTGTACCACTGCGCTCCAGCCTGGGCGACAGAGCAAGACTTCATCACTAAAAAGAAATTGATAATTAGGCTTTTAAAAAAAGTGAAATGTAATAAATAAAAAATTAGACAGTGGAGGCTGGGTGCAGTGGCTTATGCCTGTAATCCCAGCACTTTGGGAGGCTGAGGCAGGTGGATCACCTGAGGTCAGGAGTTCGAGACCAGCCTGGCCAACAGGGAGAAACCCTGTCACTACTAAAATTATAAAAATCAGCTCGGTGTGGTGGTAGATGCCTGTAATAGCAGCTACTCGGGAGGCTGGGGCAGGAGAACTGCTTGAACCGGGGAGGCAGAGGTTGCAGTGAGCTGAGATCATAACACTACACTCCAGCCTGGGCAACAGAGTGAGACTTCGCCTCCAAAAAAAAGAAAAAAAATATACAGTGGAAAGATCCATTTTTTCACATTGAATTTTACTACTATAGGCATGTGAAATACAACCATGCCCACTTATTTTTCAAGATATAAAAGCCTCCTGTGCATTGGAACCGAATCATTTTCTGTGTTACCAGAAAAAAAATAAAAAGCTTCCTGGCTGGGCATGGTGGCTCACACCTGTAATCCCAGCACTTTGGGAGGCTGAAGTGGGCGGATCACTTGAGGTCTGGAGTTCAAGATCTGCCTGACAAACATGAAGAAACACTGTCTCTACTAAAAATACAAAAGTAGCTGGGCATGGTGACGCATGCCTATAGTCCCAACTACTCAGGAGGCTGAGGCAGGAGAACTGCTTGAACCCAGGGGGCAGAGGTTGCAGTGAGTCAAGATCACGCCATTGCGCTCCAGCGTGGGCAACAAGAGCAAACCTCTGTCTCAAAAAAGAAAAAAAAAAAAGCCTCCTAAAGCAGAACACAAGAAATTTATCAAGCTACTTAACTCTGGCTTACCTGAAAAGCTAGGTAGAAAAAAAAATGAGTAGCAAGAACAAAGAAAGTGACACATCAAGAAACCAAAATGAATCTGGGCACACAGGCTACATACTCAAATAGAGTGCCTTAACATCAGATCCCAGGCAGAAGTCTAAAAGGAAAGGGGCAGAGAGGAAAGGGAAGGCCACCTACTTGTGCTCATCATTCAAGATGTGAACTTTAAAGAACCGAGGCTGGACTTCTTCAGGCTTGTTGTCAGCTGGAAGGGCTTCAGGAGGTGGAAGCCACATGTTGAACTCTGCCAGCCAATTCTGAAGAGTATTAACCTATTAGAAAGCCAAGTCCAAAAAGAGTTTCATTGGAACAAACTCAGAGCTAAACTCATCAAGCTTTTTAGTGCCCAGTAAAGGCATCAACCCAGAGCTCTTCAGGAGTGACTTAGTGGAGCCTTTCCAAAAACTCTTACCGGCACAATGGCAAGGACTGTTTTGGCTGGCGTGTGGCGGAAGAGGACGTCGATAAAAGAGATCACTTGCAAAGTTTTCCCCAGACCCATGCTGTGGGCCAGAATACAGCCAAAGCCACTGCTAGTCTTAAACCTCTCCAGGGACTCCACTAGATTATCGTAAAGGAACCGGATCCCACCAATCTGACAAGGGACAAAGACAAATGTCAGAGGGACTCGCAAAGATGAGGGCTCCAGTTTTCACTCACTTTGAAATTAGTAAGAATTAGGTAAATAAAAAGGCATTATAATAGACAGCAGGTGTGGATGGCCATAATAGTTTCCCTGTACCTTGACTGGTCTATTTACTGGTGACAGTCCTCTTGGAGAAAACACAGAAAAGCTTTCACTAGTACAGTATAATGCCCCATGTAATGCATGAATTGGTAGTGTCAAATTCCTGACAGGATCTTACAGTCAGCCTGGCTTTCTTCAGCCTTGGGAAGCTCACCCTCTTAAGGCAGCGCATTCCATAGGAGTAATTTTGTTGTTGTTGTTGTTGTTGTTTTGTTTTTTTGAGATGGAGTCTCGCTCTCTCACCCAGGCTGGTGACAGAGCAGTGGTGCTATGGCTCACTGCAACCTCCACCTTCTGAGTTCAGGCGATTCTCCTGCCTCAGCCTCCAGAGTAACTGGGACTATAGGCATGCGCCACCATGCCCGGCTAATTTTTGTATTTTCAGTGGAGACAGGGTTTCACCATTTTGGCCAGACTGGTCTTGAACTCCTGACCTCAGGTGATCTGCCTGCCTTGGTCTCCCAAAGTGCTAGGATTACAGGCGTGAGCCACTGTACCCAGCCACATAGGAGCAGTCCTTATTGTTAGGGGTTCTTAGGCCTAGGAGTTCAAGATCAGCTTGGGCAACATGGTGAAA